ACACCACCCCTTCTGATAAAAAAGATAATCTTTGTAACACTCTGTGTTAAGTGGCACATATTTGTAAGTGGCACATATATTTTATTTCGTTACCATATTAAAAATAAGAGCTTCTTGCTGCCGCCTGTTCAAATTACATAGATTTTCTTTAAGATTAGGGCACACATTGTAACAGCAGCATATAATTTTCTTGCACAATAATTTTTTTCCGGTTGAAAGGTATCCTATAATATCATCAGCATCAACAGGAACAGACACCTGATTTTCAGCTAGACAAAGCTGATGTGTTTGGTGACTTTATTCCTGGTGAAAAGCAGTTTTCAGATATAAAGCAGCTACATAAAAATTCCAAAACAATCTGACAACTTATTCTTTGACAACAAAGTGCTAGACCAAAAGCAAAAATTGTGCCAAAAATAAGATGGGGTGGGTGGGGTGGGAGGGTGGTATGTCCCCTGAATATCTTAATTCTGTTGCTCTAATTTTATCTTCTGTTGATTTTATACACATTTGGAAATGGAACATAAGCACTGCCCTTCCTAAAAGCTGAATGGATTCCTTAAAAAAAACCAAGCACAGAGCACAAACCCATTTATCCATTTAAGAAATCACCTTGTTGAAACTACCATGTATGTAACTGTGGATAAAGGGCTGTGGATCCCACATGTCTCAAAGCCACCAGCATGTTCTGAAGACAGAAGATTAAAGACCTACTCCTATCACTTCAACAAGATATTAATTCTCAGAATTGGCTGGATTCCTTTCAGAGAATGGGAACTACAAGTCTCCTGTGCTTCAGGAAGCATTTCAGGATGAGTTTGTAAGAGCCAGCCAAGGAATCTCTGCTGGTTTCAAAGCACTCACTTGCATTTTTTCTCCTTTGAGAATTACTGGCTGGAGCTTTGTGGCAGAGTATGAGCCTGCATACACAGAGGTTTTATTTTCTTTTAAAAAGAAGCTTTATATAAAATTGATAATGGCCCATGCATCTTGTGTCCCAAAGTTTGTCATCTTCAGCTGCTACTGATTCTTAAAGTAATAGAGAATCAAGATGATCCAGGTATCAGAGTCACCTAAGTACACAAGAATTATTTTAAAAAAATTAAGTCTCAAGGAAATTTTATAAGATGCTTAAATGATTAGAAGGTGTGGCAGGAAAAAAATCCCTAGTTTTAGCACAAACTCATTTTCTGTATCAAATGAATACTATTCTTAAGGAGTGAACTGATATTATCTATAGTAAAGTAATTCACTTGCATACATGTTGTGACCTGACCAAATGAAAAAAATGTATTTTTAAGTGCAGTGAAGAAAAATATATTCACTCTAGTAGGGTGTCTATGTACAGTTTTGTTCTGGGTTATTAACCTTTTCCATCCTTAATTCGATAGAATTAATAAAGAGAAGTTTGGTTTTAAAAATTCACCAGTTTTCAGCAAATTTGCCCTGATGAAGTCATTCTAACAAAACTACAATTCAAGCACTCTTAATTATGTACATTTTGTATTATTAAGGTCAATGCTAAGATTTAGCTGCAATTATAGTTATCTTTTGGATGACATATGGCAAGATCTCAAACTCTTTTTAGCTTTGGAAATTTTACATCTGCCTGCTCCTTCAAGATGCTAAGCATACATGTGTTGACAAATGCAGAAAATAGCAGATGGCAAAAAGCAAATGCTCAACATGAAGCACTGGGGATCACTCAAAAAAGGCTTGGACTCAAGAGATTTGCCATTTTTATTTTAACAGCAGAGTTATGTTTAAAAAGAAATTCCACCATCTCTTCTGCTTGATGCTAAGGAACTCGTATGATCAGAATATTCATGATTACAGAAGCAATGTCACATTAACTGCTGGTATCCACCATGCAAGTGCTTTGCAAACCTTTGGACTTTTAAGGCTATAAACACAGAATAATTCTTCAGTAGATGAACTTGTGCAGCTATATAAAAACTGGAAACCATTCTGCACTGACCATACAATTTGACATGGAATCCTTCAGAGGAATCTGCTATTCCAGCTTCTAAAAAGCTGCATGTAGCTGCAAGCAGCCCTTGGCAATGGCTGTGCCACCTGCAGCACCCCGAGCAGAGAACCCAAGGAGCAGCTGGGCACTTGGAGAGGAGAAGTTAGCACAGTCTGGGGAGCAGGAGAGTGATTTCATGTGAAAGGACACAGAAGGTAACACAACAGGTCCAGCCAGGGCTGTGCTTCTCACTAACAGTGAGCAGTGGATGACCAGGGAACAGCACCAGGAGAGAAACAACGTTCAGCAACATTCCCCTAATAAATCCAACATTTGGAAGTTCACAGCTCAGAAATCCCTGAATCACAGAGAACATTCTGTGTTAACATGCCATGGCAGACTTTCAGCAAACTCTTACAATTTTTCCAACCATGGAACCTCTCCAACTGAGGCACCTTCCCACTGTAACTAAGAGAAGGTATGTGCTGTGCCCTCCAGTGTCTCCTACAGCCCATGGGGGTGCATAAAAACCTTGGTGGTCTCATTAGCACCATGCTTTAAGGACTCCAGAGTGACTGTGCTAGGTGCTGCATCAGGAAGGAGAGCATCAAGCAGAGCCTGTAACAGTTCAGCTAAAAGAAAGATGAGCAGACAGAGAACACATGGTAACAACCACAGACAGGCAGCAGATCAACCTTGGGAAAACACCTAGAAGTAAACATTCAGTAAACTTCTCCTTTTAGTCAGAGGGACTCATCACAGACACAAAAAGAAAAACAAAAAGAAGTATCTTCACTTTCTCTACCATTTCTCACTGACTTTTCAAATAAGGAGCACTAACCAATCAGGCTGGAAATATACTATATATATATATATGCTATATACAGGTGCTAAAGAAATGCTTGTGTATTAAAACAGTGCTTTAATCTCCTGAAACTACAGTTAAGAGATGTAGACACACAGCTGTAAACTTTGATGATTCTCACTTCATACATCCCAAAACAATGACATGAAATATTACAATGAAGTACAGCTCCATAACACAATTTTAAAAAACTTCACACAAGAAAGGGACTATGTAAGTTTCACTTATGTAACAGCTCTGAACAACACCCGTAATCTTAATTCCATTATCATAAATCAACTCATAGGCAAATAAATATATTCATTCCATTACAGTATTCAGTTTAAATTAGCCCAATCTGGACAGAAGAGGTATTTTACACCATGGTCCCCTGACCATCTTCATTAAGAACAGACCTTTATTAATCTTTTACTCACATTTTACCAGCAAATCCATAAAACAAAATCATTAGGAGGTCCAAGAAAACAACAATTTCTATTCAAAATGGATCTAAGAAACTTGACTTCCAAAGCCCTTTCCTAAGTTAGGATAAAAGTTTAATAGTGAGAACCGAAGGATTTATGTCCAGAATCTGCACGCAAACATCTTGTCAGGTGTAGAACTTAAGACTAAGCACACCAATCAGTTTCAGGCAAAGAAGTAAGTTCACAGGAGGCACTCAGAAGGAGTAGTGGTACAGCAGGGGGTGCCTAGCAAATCCAGCTGAAGAATACCAAGATGTGCAAAATCAGAACATGACCAATCTTTAATTTTTATAATGGTTAGAAATAAAAATTAACAACCTCCCCCCTAAACCCATGAATTTTCTTCAACTCTAACAAAACTCAGTCTCCTGGTCACTGGCATTCTATTTACCTCCCTTAAAAATCTCTACTTATCACATTCATTTGGACACCTCAAACCACCTCCGATCTGCCATGCTCCAACAGACACCCTGCCAATACTGGCAGCCTAGCAGCTTCCTCCAGAAAAGGGAGTTTTTCCTGCAAAAACTGAGTTCTGCTGATCTTTCTTCTCCTGTACCAACTCACCAGCTTTCAACAAACAGGAATTTAGTTACCTTGGGAATTCTATCTGTCTATGAAATTCAGCTGAAAAGAGTCACCACTACCAAAAAGGACACTCCCCTTTCCTCACAAACCCAAGCCAAAGCACTTTTTGAGCAAAATGCCTGAATCCAAGGGAGGAAGTAAAACCGAATAACCAAGAATCACACAGAATAATCTGGTAAAGCTCTGAGATTCTTATGCCCATATAGCAGCAGTGCAGAAAAAATTAGGGGAATTCACAGAAAGTGAAGTCTTGATGCATGACCAAGAATACACTCCACAAAAACTCACCAGAAGCTTTCCAATAAAATTAACATATTTTCCTCCTATTCATTTTTTATTTCATTACTGCTGACTATTAGGAAAGAAACTTTTTTTTTTTGCTTTGCATCTGGTCTTTGTGTACTCGAGGGCTGCATCTGATCAATCACAAAAACTGTAAAAACAAATCCTGCAATTGTTACTTTACTGGTTTATAGAAATTACTTTGGTGTGTTGTTGGAACCCTGGCTGCTGAGAATTTCAGACTTTCTGTGCTGCCAGGCACTGAGCCCCAAGAGAACACTGCATTGACCTGAGGCCGTGGAGAAGGCTTCCAAAATGGAATGACAGAGCTGGGATTGTGGGTGTGGAGTTTGAATAGAAGTGTGTGATATCACAGGGTGGAAAACTCAGAGTTTAAGGGTTTAGAATACAGTAATATATATAAAACAAGATGGAGGTTTTAGGGGGGGTGGTCCTTCTTCTCCTCGGGTTTGGGTGGTTTTGTGTATTGGATATTTGTGTATTTGTGTACTGGATAAGAAAGTCTGCACTGCATGGTTGGTTATTGGGTTAAAAGTAAAAATAAGTAAAGTAAAAGTAAAAATAATTTAGGTGTCATTTCTTAATTGGACAGTTCATCCTTAAAAGGCCTTGTAGAGAGAGAGATGGGGCTCCATTTTTAATTTGCTAGAGTGAAGTGCTGCAGATCTCAGGGTTTGTGAGACTGTAGAATAAGAACCAATAAACATCTGAGTCCCAACAAGAAATACCTTCTCACACATTTAATCCCGACCTTGGCACAAAAAAAGGCAGGAATCCATCAGTGTATCCTAAAGCGCAAATCCAGCCTTACCAACAGAGCAAGTTTTTGGTATTTCTGTTTCAGTTCTGCCGGGCTGTCCGAAGGTTTGGCCCCCAGGACCTTGTACCAGTCCTTCTGCTTCACCCTTTCCAGGGCCATGGCCCGATGGGTCTGCAACCCCTTCCTCAGCACTGCGTTAGAAAATCAAATCCATGAAATCACAACCTAAAAGAGAAGCAGAAAAAGCAAAACAAGGATGTGGCAAACTGCAGGATTACAGAACTGACTGTTGACCTCAAGCACTTCTACACCATTGTATGAGAGCTACTGTGCAAAATAAGTTAAATTCACGTGGCCATTCCATCCCATAGCCTGTCAAATGTGAAATCTTGTGTTTCCTGTCCAGTGCTTCAGCATATCCTCTTCAGAAGCCATGCATACTTCTTTAAAAATCATTTGTATGCAAAATGAACTCTAGAAACGGCCCAGGTTACAGACACACCTTTTACACACACACTTTTTAAAACAAACTTTTGACTTTGAAGCAATACTGTACCTAACACATGAAAACATGAAGTACAAAAAAGGGTGACATTTTTAAAAAGGGGAATAAGATCCATGCAAGAAGACACAAGAAAAGGTGTGTGCTTGTTTTTACAAAATGAGTTTTTCTAAGCATGTAAACGTCTTCATCCTGCTGAGTAAGTCAACTTTCTTAAAGCAAGAGAGCACGTAAAAACAAATTAACAAAAATGAACCAAAACGTACAAAGTTAGCACTGTATGAGCAAAACCTAACTAGGAGTGTGGGTTTCAATTTTGGCCATCTTTCATCAAGCTAATGACCCAGAACGGAAAAAAATAAACAGGAGAACGAAATGTCAGTAATAGAATGGCAATGCTTGAGCTTCACGCAGATTCTTAGGTGTGCTGGAATGCCCAGCTGGCAGTAGCTGATTTACCATCCAGAGGAGAAATAACACTGCTAGTAGGCAAAAGCTTTGTAAATACACAGGCTCTATAACTGCAAATTGTGGGGGGGGAAAAAAAAGTTTGGTTTTTGTTTTCTTTCCCCCTAAAACTGCTTCGGGCGACTACCGTCGTACTTCTTTCTTAACCTTCCTTTACGGGGGAAGGAAAGTACGTGTTTCAGACCCGGCAGGGGACAGCCCCACGGTGCCGGGGACAGCCCCACGGTGCCGGGGACAGCCCCACGGTGCCGTCCCGCCCGCCCCGGGCCGCGTTCTCCGGCACCGCTCCCCGCACAGCCGGGGAGGCCGCCGCGGCCCGGCCCGGCCCGCGGCCCAGCGCACCGCTGCCGGAGCGCTCCCGCCGCGCCTCCCCGCAGCTCCGCGGTCCGGTCCGGTCCGGTCCCACCCCGGTGCCCGCGGCCGCCCCGCGCTCCCACCTGCCCCGCACCGTCCATGGCAGCGCACGCCTAACTCGTCCGGCGGGAAACACCCTCCTGTTCCCCGCGGCGCTTTAGGCATTCAGCTCGGCCGGCGCTCCCTCGGCTGTTTCCAGCCGGGCAGTAGTGGCGCCGCACCGGCAGGAAGCGCGGCCCGACGCGTCTCCATGTCCGGTGCGGCTCGCCCGGCCCGGCCCGGCCCCGCCGCCTCGCTCCGGCTGCCGGCGCTTCGGGGGCTCCGCTGCCCTTCCCGTTCCCCTTCGCTCGCTGCGCGCTGTGAGAGCCCCACAGCCGCTCTCCCCGCAGGGACTCCGCCTCCCGAGGCGCCGGCGCTGCCACTGCGCGGCCCCGCAGGCGGAGCTCGGAGCCCGGGCGGCCGGCCTTGGGCCCAGAGTGGGGCGGGCGTTTCTGTTCGAGAGTGTTTGTGCTGAGGGAGAAGGAAGAACGTGCTGTTGGTGAAAAGAATCCAGCTCTGGAAGCAGGTTTTTAACGATGTAAAGATGTTTCCTCGTTAGAAACAAACAAGAAACCACAAAACGCCTTACACCCTCACCCCGCCACTAAAAGTGCGAGAACAGCGCAAACAAAACCCCATGACCACGGCAAAAAAAACCCCAAAAAAACAAAAAAAAACCCCAAAACCCAAAAAACCAACCCCTAAACAAACAAACAAACCCCAAGGAAAAACAAACAAAACCAAACACTCCAAAAAACCCCCCAAACCCAATAAAATCCCTCAAAACCTTCGGTGTATGCTGTAGACTTTAGCTTTTGGAATCTTAGGCAAAACTAGGGAGCAAAATCCCTGAACATTTCTCCAGGCAAACTCAGTTCACACTACACTTTAAAATACATGTCATGCGTCCTGTGACAATATTTTCATGTGACACGTTAGAATTAAAGGCACTCCTTGTCCCTTTTGTTAGCCCTCGAAGTGTTTGGGCCAGGCTGGACAGACGCTGCCAGGAGAGCTCCTGGCACATTGTCCCCATCAAACAGCAGAGTGGGACAGCTGGGCTTCGGTGAGACACGTGGAGAATTTATTTAGGGTTTGTTATGTTTGCCCAATTATCCAATCACAAATAAAAGGCCAAACAAAATTAAATGTAACAATAATTTTAATGAAATTTGAATGAAATAGTTTAAAATATATAAAATTGAATACATTTAATAAATTGGCAGTATAATTTGGTTATAATAAAATATAGTTTGGTTTGGGTAATGACGCATAAGCAAAATTACCGCGGGGTACGGAGTGCGAGGGCCTTGGGACCCCTGCCACCTCACGTACAAGCTTGCCAAGCCCAAAATTCCCCCCTTTATACTGTCTATTATCAGCATCCCCTCCTATTTTCGATTCATCACACTGGTGTCTCCACCTTCATCTTCATCTTCACCGCGCATGCGCCACCATCTTTTAGGGGGTCGCACCACTCTTTGGGGGTTGTCCAGATGAGGGCCGCTCCTCTTCCTCAGGTGTCCTTTATTTCACCTTTGGGTTACACATGCGCACCAAGCTAATATCATATATGCCAAACCAAAATTATATAAGCCAATATAATAAATCTCGTAAATTAACATATTTCTGATTTCCACCCAAGTTTTCCCTCTTTCAGTTAATTTTAGCAAGCTTTATCCGACTCCTTTTCCTGCCTTGAACATCTGCAGAAGATAATGGGGGGGTGGACCCTTCCCCTCTGCTTTCCTATCTTTTTACCTTTTTAACTATTTTGTTATCTCCAAATATTGATTACTATATCCATATTGATTACTGTTTCCATTTTATCAGCACGAATCACACCTATTTATCACAGCTTTAAGGGTGGGAAAACGTCAGATCTGCAAAACCACTCAACACCTGATTAGTCTGATTTTTGTCCGTGCTGGTTGTCAGGGTCCCTTTTGAAATGAGGATTTTCTTCTCAGGCAAAGGTTTCAGTGTGGTTCCGTGTAGCTCCTCCTTCACTGGGGCTGGTGTGGTTTTTTAAAAAATTTTAAAACAGTTAAAACTTTTTAAAAAATGTGTTGTTGTCCTGGAGATTGGTCACTATACCTGTGCTTTCACCAAAATTGGTTAATATCCTCCTAAAGACTGGATACAGTTTCCTTTATTTTTTATCCTGTATGCCAAAAATTCCTAAGTGTTGCATATTGAGGGTTTTTTTTCAATTTTAAATCATGACAGGATTGGTACCAGCTCATACAGTATTTGAAACACAGAGCTGTTTGAGAGATTGTGAGCAACTCTATATCTGTAGTGAGAAAATAAGCAGAAATAGAAAAATCTAAACAGAAATTACATCTATATAAAATATTAAAATATATAGAAAATTATTATTAATAAAGTATAAGAAATATAATTAAAATGTATAAATTTATTATATAAATAGAAAATTATCTGTACATGTTAAGGAATTATTTCTGGAGTCAGTGGAACAATTTTGGAAGTGAAACACTTGTTCTTTTCTGTGCATGTTCAGCATGCCAAAGTGAAAGAAAATAGGCTATTTAATAGAACAGTTTGGTGTTCATGCACCACTGACCTTGTCTGGCATCACAGCTTTTGTGTCTCAGTTTCTCTTTTTATCTGCCCAGTTTCAGAAGCCATAATATCTGATCTAAACCTCTTTCAGCATCATAAATCAGCGCTGAGTATTGCTTGGGTTTGGATAAATTCAAGAGCTTGAGCATGTTTAAGTCAGGCAGAGATGAATATTTTGTGTTAAATATGGGTTGGGTCAGCTATAGCTAATAACCCCGACTGGCTGTGAGGACTTGTGAAGCTGTTGGACAGCCTGAAGGCAATTTGACAATCTTTCATCTCTAGAGGTATAAAAATTAACTCAGTTCAAGGTGTGTTAAATGGGAATGTAGGGGAGAGGGAAAACCAGACTGAGCACAAATGCTCTGGCTGGTGAGCCAGCACAAAGCTCAGTGCAGCCAGAGCTGTGCTGCTTTTTCTCCCTTCTAAAGGCAAAAAAATAAAAATAAAAAAAAATTAAAGAGAGTAGGTAAGTGCCAGGAGAGTGTGAAGAACTTGCCATGAGAGTCCAGGAAGAGCAGAGGCAGAGCAGAATTCTCGGACTGTTATCCCAGGCTGGAGGCATGAGACATGTCTGTAAGAAACCAGGCTTGCTTAATTATTTCTAATTATGTGAGCATGCACAGGTGCTGTGCATTTCACTGGAGCTGGACACCTGGGAATGGTGAAAAGTTTCTTTCTCTTCTTCAAGAGACTTTAGATATCAGTTGGTGGTTTCATACATTTTTTTGAGAATATTTAACTTTTAAGTGGATGCTTTTATTGAGAATGTCACATAACATTGGGCTGTGTTGTCACAGAATTATAGGAGAATTATTTAGGGACTTAACTGATGAGTCCTAGAATGGTTATAGGAGAATTATTTAGGGACTTAACTGGAGAATGCTGGAATGGTTATAGGAGAATTAATTAGAGACTTAACTGGAGAATTTTAGAATGGTTATGGGAGAATTATGTAGACTGGAGAGTCCTAGAGTGGTTATAGAAAGGCTTAACTGGAGAATTCTGGAATGGTTATAGGAGAATTATTTAGGGACTTAACTGGAGAATGCTGGAATGGTTATAGGAGAATTAATTAGAGACTTAACTGGAGAATTTTAGAATGGTTATGGGAGAATTATGTAGACTGGAGAGTCCTAGAGTGGTTATAGAAGAATTTAAAGATTTAACTGGACACTGTGTGTGCTTCTAGTACTGCAATAAAAGATGAGTACCAGTGATGGACCAACTGAAACATCCAGACTTTCTCACTGTTAACTACAATTTTTACTTCTAGATGGTAATTTGCAAAGTCTTGGTAAGTAAAACTTTTTTGCTTTATTTTTTTGTTTATGTTGGTTTTATACTGCTACATAGAGAGCTTTAGAATGGTTATAGGAGAATTATTTAGGCTGGAGAGTCCTGGAATGGTTATAGCAGAATTATTTAGGGACTTAACTGGATAATGTGTGTACTTCTAGTACTGCAATAAAAGATGAGTACAAATGATGGACCAGCTGAAACATCCAGACTTTGTCGTTATTAACCACAATTTTTTACTTCTAGAAAGACTTTTGCAAAGTCTTGGTAAGACTAGTAAAGCTTTTTTGCTTCATTTTTTTGTTCACGTTGATTTTATACTGATACATAGAGAGTTCTAGAATGGTTTGGGGTGGAAAGGACTTTGAAGATCATCCAGTTCCAACCCCCTGCAATGAGCAGGGAACCTTCCACTATCCCAGGCTGCTCATCCAGCCTGGCCTGGTTCTCTGGAGAGTCCTGGAATGGTTATAGCAGAATTATTTAGGGACTTAACTGGATAATGTGTGTACTTCTAGTACTGCAATAAAAGATGAGTACAAATGATGGACCAGCTGAAACATCCAGACTTTGTCGTTATTAACCACAATTTTTTACTTCTAGAAAGACTTTTGCAAAGTCTTGGTAAGACAAGTAAAGCTTTTTTACTTCATTTTTTTGTTCACGTTGGTTTTATACTGCTACATAGAGAGTTCTAGAATGGTTTGGGGTGGAAAGGACTTTGAAGATCATCCAGTTCCAACCCCCTGCAATGAGCAGGGAGCCTTCCACTATCCCAGGCTGCTCATCCAGCCTGGCCTGGTTCTCCTCCAGGGATCTGAGGGCAGCCACAGCTTCTCTGGGCACCCTGTGCCAGGGCCTGTCCACCCTCACAGGGAACAATTCCTTCCCAATATCTAGTCTAAACCTCTTTCAACATCATAAATAAGCACGGAATATTCATTTGGTTTGGATAAATTTAAGAGATTGAGCATGTTTAAGTCATGCAAAGATGAATGTTTTGTGTTAAATAATGTTTTGCAGTTGTTGTCTTCATCTTTTCAACACTTTAATGTGACAGTTAATATCAGCAATTAATTAATGTGGCAAATAATAGTACAAGATTTCCTTATGGGGTCTCACTGATAGTTCTGGTGTGCTGTTTTCATCCTGGCTCTTCAGTCAGTGCAGGGAGAAGAATTTATTTCAAGTGATTTTTT